TGAAGCCAATCATCCTGGTGAAACAATAAATTCAGGGAAAAAAGAAAACACTGAACAGGCCTATAAAAGGTTACATGATGATATCAAAAGATTGAAAAGGGAAAATGATGACAAAAATTTAAAATTGGAAAAGATTCTTGGAGAATTACAAACATCAGGTGATTTTTTTGCAAACAAAACCCCTATGCATTGGAATTTCAGGATTATTTGTGATTTCAATTTTCTTGAATCTGATAATACTAATTGAATAATGATTTTCAGTTCAAAAATATTGGGATGAAAATACTTGCCAAAAAATATCTGCACTCAGTGATATTTTAAAAAATGAGCAGAAAAAAATAAGCAAAACAGCACAAAGTCTTCCTCCTTTGGAACATACCAAAGGTAATTATCCTTTGACAAAATGAAATTTCCATTCAAACCTAGAAATATTTTTTCCTGACTGATTTCAATTCTTGGGTTCTTCAAACCAATCATCCCAATGAACTTACATATTCAGGTCAAAAATATCAGAGTGAAAATCATATTCAAAAACTGTATAATCTAATGAAGACTGTGAATGAGGGGGAGGAAAGAAAAACTGCTATACTAGCAAAGATTGATGACTACCTTTCAAACCATCATTTGTTAAGTTCCAAATGAATTTTGCTCATATTTTTCCAAAATTATCATCCTCGCAAGGTTTTCAGTAGAAGGAAATAAATCATCTCTGGGCACTCTTGTTGATTTTATAAATAATTTTCCCAAGTCATCCACAGTGGTCCCCATCCTCCAAGCCGTCCACTTAGTATTTGTTACAACTAACCAAGATGCTAGATCAGCAGTTGTGATAACAGAAAAACAAGAGAATCTGTCAAAACTGAAAATGAAATGAAAGATGAGACTGATGAACAGGAAAAATAAAAAGAGAGACAACAGAAAGACCTAGATTTGATGCAAACAGAGATATGATTATGGGTGAGAGTGAGACTCCAGAGAATGGAAACAAAGAAATAACATGAGAAAAGGAAATTAAACACAATAAATATTGTTGCCTAACAGGCCAAATTTGGGCAACATTTACCCCTGTATTTCACTATTCCATTTCAATTTTTGAAACCTATTATTTCTCCCTGCTCTGGCCTGACACTTAACTCATCACCCTGTTAATTTTCCACTTCTAAGTACCTTGTACTATTCCACAACCCACCACCAATGCTCAATCCTAAGCCAATCATTTGGATACAATGTCCAAACACCCCCCTCTTTTTACACCTTTTGACATGTTCAACATGATCTTTGATCTTAACCAGATTGAGAATTCACCCATTCATCTCTTCTCAATAAACAGGTTCATTGTCCTGATCCGCTGACTCTTAAGCCTTCTACCAAGAAATTTGAGTGCACTTGTAACTGAATAAGGCAACTATGTCTTCTTCACCACACTCCTTTATCCAAACCTTTTAGATGTGAAACTTGATTTCTTGGAAAAGAAGTGAGTTGTTTGAGGGGGATGATGGCCTCAATTTATAGGCATCATTTGACAAAGGGCTGAGCCTGGATGGGAGACTCTTTGACTTCTGTTTTGGTCCCCAGGAATGATAAAACCTGGCCAATGACAATGTAAATGGACTGCAGAGGGAACCATTGCATGCTGAAGTACTTCTGCTGTATCCATTTCCTGCGACATAGAATTTATCAGATGCCTAAACTGTTTCATTGAGGATTATTACTCTGCTGTATTTTCTCCTCAGCTTGTAGATTCCATCCAGATTAGATTTAATTGCACACTCCAACCCCTGCTCCAAAACAGGAAATTATCACTCCCTCCCTAAGCTTTCAATCCCACTATGTCAGACTTGGAGTACTTACAGTTGATGTGTGTAGTAACTAGAGCCTGATGTGAAAATATTTGAGAATTTACAGGTAATAGGATGAGAGGATAAGTTGCAAGTGTTTGTTGCATCACAGCTCAGAGAGCTCTTGATGAGGCTTACCGGCTTCCTCCTGCAGCTCAAAGCCGGGTAAACCAAGCTTGAGTGTTCTCAGAGTTGAGACAATCTTAGAAGGTCAAGTTAACTGGTGGGGAGCAATGGAATTGGAATTATTGCAAAGGTTGCGGGGGAGTTGTAAAGAAGTTGTAATGGTGATTTGAGGGGAAGAGACTTATGGATTATTCACAAGAATTTGGGTATTGCAAGAAATCTTGAGCCTTCTGGCTAGGTAGTGAAAGCCTTATACTGTAGAGTGTTTGTCTGACAAGTGCTAGTAAATTTGGCAAGTAAGAGTTTTTGGTTTTAGTCAACCAATAGTAATTGGTTTTAAGGTATAATTGCAATGAAGCTAAGGATCTATTGGCGCTAGAGCTTCCTTGAAATAATTAATTGAGGCTTGGTATAATTTGTGATTATTTGTTTTGTTGGGGGATAAAGAATAGAAAGGAATAGTAGAAATGTCTATCAAGAATTGGGAAGGATAACATGTTTTGTTTTGTTGTGTGATCTCTGACTGTGCCACAGTACTTTTAACTATAATTCATTATTATATTCATGCTATGTGCATTGTCTTACTCATATAACTTCTCAATTTCCTTCTTACCAGGGGGTTATATTGTGTGGGGCTTGGTTAAACGACTTCCAAAAATTAAAGAGCCAACTCCCAAGCCCCAGAATCCCCAAAATTTAGGAGTCAAACCCCCCAAAACCTTTGACTGCTTTGGGAGTCAAATCCCTAAAAAAATATTAAAAAAAGAAACCCGTGGTCAGTTTGGTAGTCAAAAATCCAAGACAAACAGGGTTTGGGGGTGAATGATGTTGAGCTGTCCACAGTTGTGTTTCATCTCATGTTTTTCTTTCTCTGCTTTATACATGTCACATGTAGTTCTCATCCATTTTACACATTTGTAATTTTGTAGTATACCTGAGGCAGCACTTGTGGAAGGCCGCCTTTCCTCATCCTTCCACGAACATCAAACACTCACCCCATCTTGTGCTTGCTGCTCTAAGCGCCCTGTCTAGATCATCAAATGAAGTAAAAGACCCCCACAGAAGCGGCTAGGAGGATTCCTCCCGGCCTCTGAGAG